CTGTAACTATTGGTACCAGATTCGTCTGGGAGGATAAAACACTGACTTGTACATCGGCTGGCCCCCGCAAGTCATTGTATAGGCCACATCGCATTCAATAAGCCACTACGATTCTGAATGGAAGTAGAATGCGTGCCGCATCCCACAAAGGGATTGATCAACGGCGAAGACTTTATCCTTTATCCTGATTGAAGGGAAAATGACTGTACACTCGCTCTTCATGTATGCATCTGGATAGCATAAAGTTTGAGTTTCCTTATCGAGCAGCTCATGCTTCACACAATCACCAATTTCAGGTATCATAATTGTTGCGGTAACGATCGATCCGTCAACTGGAGATGACGACTCGGACATCGAATGGGATAGCCCGAGGGTGGGTAGACGCGCTTTTGACCCGCTCGTTATGCCTCGTTTCATGGGATTACCCACATAATCAGGAAGTAAGAGTCCATCGCTGATACTAATCAACTAATCAATACGAACTCTGTTCTCTTCACAGTGTTCGAATGAGTCAACCGAATTGCTTCCCTGTGAGCCGCACAACTCATCGAAATCCTTCTACTCGGGTCAAATCTTCACCGAAGTGTGATCGTATTGCCACATTGCCTTAGCTGGAACTCATTGAAAAGGAGCCCACCACTTCGCAGAGATATTTAGATTGTACAGTATTGTATATGTACATCGGATATTTTATCGTTTTTCCAACCAATACTCTGAAAGATTGTGAAATAGCCTTTTTCTGAACTAGCCTTCATGTTACTATTTGTATCACAGCGGATATTAATTGAAGTGTCTCTTACCTAGATGTCGCTGTCACCCCCTTCATGCAAAAGATCCCCTTCTCTCTGATTGCTCGATTGTTCCTACGGACGCCCCGCCCCTTTTACCATTTCAGTTGTGGACTTATTCCCCAATTAGTACCTATATCGTTCCAAGTTGAGACCGCTCGGTTAGGTATTCGGCTTGGTATAGGAAGGCTACGATTCCATCATACCTGGAACACCATAGTGGAACCCTAGTGGAAACCTAGTGCTGGAGAAAGCTCCTAGACACTAAACAGGGACAAATGTCCCACACTCCCGACTAATGGTACTGAATATGACTATCACGAGGCAGGACGGCAGAGAAATACTGGAAAGGGGAGAAAAGCTGACTGCGCTA